GGTTGACTTTCAAGGAGAAGGAGGTCAAGGAGGTTCCTGTTCACGAGAACACGCTGGAGGAGACTTTGAGGAGGAAGTTGTTGGGTCTGGAGTAGATGGCTGGTGGTAAAGAGAGGGTGGGAAGGGTGGTGAGGGGCGCACTTTGTGTGGGGTAACTGGACATCTGTTGCTTAATTGTCTTTATTTCCAATCAATACTCTGCTTTCCACAAGGATATTTGTGTGAAGGTGTTCGTCATAGAGCATTATTCAAATCATCGTCTTCACACCTCTCTACTCGGAAGATCAGCCAGGAAAACCACCCCTAGCCATCTTCTTCGCCCTCTGATCTCTCCTATTATGGTTCGCTCTCGATCCCTTGTATGCCTCCTTCCTGTTCCTCGCCGCTTCCGTCTCCTTATCGCCCGTCGGTCCCGCAACAATACCCCTTCCTCTCCCTCTCCCTCTCCCTCCCCTTGGAGCTCCTCTTAGTCTACCTCCCCTACCACGATCATTCGGATTCGCATTATTGTCCGAATCCTCCGTCCCAGAACCAGCACCAGTAGCTCTCCAAGCCGTCGGTCCCAGATCCCTCTGCTGGCCAGTAAAGCCCGTGAACTTCGCTTCAAGTCTGCGCATCTGTCTCGGGTCCCTTGAGAGCATGAGAGCCCAGCCTTCAATAGCTTCATCCGTCATTCCCGTCTCGTCTCTCAAGACTCCTCTCGGCTTTCCTCTCCGCGTTGCGGAATCACGACCGAAGATCTCAGGACTAGATTTATAAGCGCGGAAAAGAGCTTCGTCATGAGCGTCTCGAACATCGGCATTGATTTCCTCGGGGTTGTTTCCAGGTGTGGCGGAATCGACTGTGCCGCCTACGTCTTCGACGTCGTAGGTGTCATCTCGTTCGTCGTCGTCGGAATCGAATGCTGCGAGGGCGGAGAGGATCGCTGCTTTGCTGGGTGCGTTGGAGCGGTCTTGAAGGACGTCGTCAGCCGTTTGTTCAGGATTGCGGCGGCCGAAATGTAGTTTTGATGTATCGACGGCTAGTTGGTCGAATTCGTCGTCGTCGAAGACGTTACGGCGAGTTGGTACTTGTGGTGGTGTGAAGTTGGGTGCTAGATCGGGTATGTGTTGATGGTTGGAATCACTTTGGGATATCAGCATAATTATCTCAGCATTTAGAAGGAAAACTTACAGTTCTTCTGACCGGTCAGCATCTTCCAGATGTGGCGGTAGAGAACCCTCCAAGAGATGACCAATGACTTCCTCGACATTTTCTCCATACTCGTCGAGTAGTTTGACAACAAATCCAGATCCAAGGTCTGGAAAGAGATCTTGAACCTGAGAAACTAGACTCATCCGATGAACATGAATATGTTCATGTCCTGAAACATCAACTGCAATTCCTTTGCCTTTGTTGACTTTCTTCTTGGTAACTCTGACTGGTCTCCCACTAGTGGGCTTCTTAAACTCCGCAAGAGACTTGAGGATCGATTTCGCCCTGACAGATCCAGACCCACTGGCATCAATACGCTGCTGAACCTGCTTTAGAACTGGTGTTACAGTAACAATTTCAGCCACAAGAGAGTCGTTGAAATTTGTAGGCCCTGCCTTATGAGCATCCGCTGCAGCCTTCAGAGAGTAAAGTTGGTCCACCAGTGAAGAGAAGTTGGGTTTCTCTCCCTCCGTAAGTCCGATCAAACAGAGATACAGAGTTGAGACAATGACTTTCCGTAGCGGAGGATTCATGATTTTGTAGCAGCTGATGAGAGAATCCACAAAGTCACTCCCGGCCATGAAGAAGGCAGCCGTAGGTGGAGAAGCATGAAGAAGGTAGTCCAGGCGTTTGAGTCTCAACTCTACTGCTTTCAGGTCTCCCTTGAGCCCTGCTTCCATCTCCTTTATCAGAAACGTCTTGAGTGATGCCAAAGAGGTCTCCAAAGAAGACGAATTTTTCGTCCAAACTAGACTTGCGAGTTTGCCACCATTGCTCTGTCCATAAATCTTGCTCAGGTCTGCCAGGAACTCCCAAGAAAGTACTGGCTCGGGAGGATGTTCAGAATCCAACAATCGACTTGATAACATAAACGATAATTTTCGTAGTTGTTTCTCCTTGTGAACATGTGAAGAAGGCGAGACATCATGCGACAATGCTGTTTCTGAAGCATATGAAAGGAGGAAAGTCGGTAATGATCCATCTTTTGCTGACGATCGAGCAAATTCCGAGGCGGGTAATGAGAGATGAGCTCCAGCAAGCGCAACCCAAGCATCCAGACAGGCCTCCCATTCTTCTGGGACAATGTGATTTCTCCATGCTGCCTCCGGGAAGGGGACAAATTTGGGAATACTGGAAACAGCCATTTCGAATGTCCTAAGAGAATGCCGGTATTTCGTGAGATTCTCAAGACAGAGCCTCACTTATGAAGGATTTCAAGGCCGTCCTATTGTTCATTATCCATGATCAAAATTCACGCCGTTTGACTCAGAATGAGTAAATGTTCGGAAAGTTGCGGTCATTTGTTGATGACACTGCCATGCCGCAAGGCTGAGGTCCTAAGAATGAAGGAACCAATGATATCACACTTCGCTAAACTTGCCGCCAAGAATTTCCGCCCACATTCTTTTTTCCACCTGAAAAGGGCTCTCGGTCCTCATCGACAACTGCACACCGCAAATCCAGATCACCTTCATCACTTTGCCGAATCATACGATCGAGTCGTGAAGGATTACCAACATCAACTCAAAAATGTCTTACCAAAAGCCAGAGAAGGAGTTCGGCGAAGGCCCAGTACGTTGCCTTGTCGCATTGGAGTTTGAGGGGCGCATTCTGACTTGCAATTTTACAGAAAACCCACAAGATCCGTATCACCTTGACCAGCCGAAATGTCAAGTCCCTCGAGAAGGTCTGCCAGGAGCTCATTGAGCGTGCGAAGGGAAAGGATCTCCGTGTCAAGGGTCCAGTCCGTCTCCCAACCAAGACCTTGAAGATCACCACCCGAAAGACACCCTGTGGTGAAGGTTCCAAGACCTGGGATTGCTTCGAGATGAGAATCCACAAGCGTCTCATCGAGTATGTCATCTGCTGTGTCGTTTCTGCTGCAATGCTAATTCTCACGCAGTCTCAACGCCCCTACCGAGGTTGTCAAGCAAATCATCATCAACATCGAGGCTGGTGTCGAGGTCGAGGTCACGATCGCTGCTTAAATGTAGCTCGCGCATGGATACTCGCTGGTGGAATTGGCATTGGTTGCATTCAGCTTCCACGCTTTGACGGAAGTTACTCAATATTACAAGTTTATTGAGATGACATGATATGTGCCTCAGCCTCGGACGTGCAGTTTTGATGAAAATGTAGGCCGATTTGAAGATAAGTGACAAAAATATACCATGGACTGACCTATGCTCCGAGTGGAACCGGCAGTCTTCATTCGGGTGAGTGGCCCTAAGTTCCTGCAAATAATAGCTCTTCCCTCCCCCATGGACACTGGGGCATTACCCAGTTTCGGAGTAGCTTGGTCTATTGTAGGCGGAAGTCTCTGTTATGCCAATGTCCAATTTCAGATTTTTTAACATCCGGCTGCCTTCTTACTACTTGAAATTCTTCTATTTGCTTTGGAGTTTGATAAGATAGGTTAGTAGGGGTCTTTCCGACGTTGACTGAGGGCGCTGTGGCGGCCTCGATTGTGCAACCTTATGTCATCAGCCAGTCATTAATTCATCCGATATCGCGCTCTCGCTTCTGGTCTGCCTCTTATGCACTTAGTTTCCTTAGGAAGGTTGTCCGATTTCAATTCCGAGTCTGAATATACCACATCCACCATCCTGATGTTCCTCTTCCCGTTATTTCACTCGAAAACAGTGGCATAAGAAGTCAATATGAGCAGAAGGCGATGCTAGTCTTGTCAAAATTCAAGACATGTATCGAGAAGACGACAAGTCGAGAGCTCACATACACGTCCGAAGAAGACAATTGTGCTCAGAGTTCACACATTGACTTTTGAAGCATTTTTCGCGCCTCCAAGCTGTTCTTTCGCTGTTACAAGGTGGAGTCTACCGATGATTCCGATGACGAAGGAAACGTAAAGCTGTCTTAAATAGTAACTTGCAACGTGGGAGTCGAAGTCGAAGTGGAAATGATGTGAGGGGGCTCGGTGACATTGGTCGAGTACCGTCGGCTTTGTTTAGACAGGTCAATCTCGCAGGAAATATATCCTTATGTTCACGTTACCTCCTGGACAACCGAATTAGAACCTTCGCACGTGAATGTGCTTTCAACCCATATGACCTTTATGTCGACACGGACGGTTGGCCTTACAGAGCTTGACTTCTCTCCGGACGTGGTGCAGCTGTTACTATATGCAAGCTTAACGGTAACATTCATTGGACAGTCTATTAGTGGTGGAGTCTGCATGATGTCTTCATCATATGTCGCGAAGCTGGAGACTGCTACGAGCGTGTTGCCGGTACTATCAGTGGCAAGAACCCCGAACTTTCCGTAGAGCCGATGCTAGAGAAAAGGAAATTTCGGTAGAGGTAAAGAGAAATTCCCCGGAAGCCAACGTGTGATATCAGAAAGCTACAGCGAGGGGATAAAAAGCCACTTCGGTCTGCAGAAGCTGGGACAATCTAGACCTAGACTTGGTTGGATTGGCCAACTTTGGGACTATAGTAGACGAAAAAGCTGAGCTTCTGCTTGTTCCTTAGGAGATATCTTTGAATGAGTAAACTGAAGATCACATGTATCAGCTGAAGGCAAGAGACAGGTGGATATTGGATGAACCAAGTTGTAGCAAGAGCTTTGAGATTGAAATAATTGCTCTGGTAGAACAGTGTCAGAAGACTGAGACAATAAGGTAGAGAGACATATTTCTGCAACGATATTCATGATCGTGTGTAGTCACAATATCGGGATGCCGTCCTCATCTATTCCTCTGGCGATCTTCAATGTTCCTCGAAATTTTTGATTTACAAATTGTGAACATGTACGTAGTTAAGGACGAGCCTGGCTAATCAATCGCCATAATCGCTGTGCCAGAGTGGTTAATGGGTAAGACTTGAATTATGTTCGGTTATCTTATGACTTCGGTCGCGTAGGTTCGAACCCTGCCGGCGATGCGTTTGCCTTTTGGTTCTAAGCACATTCTCAAAATGAAGGAGTTTGCTTTGTACCCTTGTCTTTAAAAGACAACTTTTATCATTTTCAACGAACCATTCTTTGAAAGAATGATTTAATTTCTACTTCAGATCATCCTCCTTGTACATTTGCTATTGCTTGGGACGATGTTATCGGCGGTATTTATCCGCTATCTACATGAGAGCGTACGTTATTTGCGTTTCCTTTGTCTAGTGTCCTTTTTCAGATAATTCTTCGACGCTGAACATTCCTCACAAGGGCCTTTGCTTCTGATTTTGACTGGCTATTAATTACACTTAGTGTGATTTATATTCGGTCTGAAGCGAGATCAGGTGCTTAAGCGAGCTGCTGAGAATCGAGACTTCCAGTCACAAATCAACGTATCTAGGTACGGGGAAAGTAGGCCCCAACTCAGAGTTCACCTGCTCTACTTATCCATATTTTTGTTAATGAGAATCTTTGAAAAGAACAGAATTTGAATTGCTACATAGCTTCAAAAAGTGACGAAACATAGAACTTAAGGCAGGACTCGGATCCGAAACGAGTCTGATATAAAGCTTGTTAGCCATCTCGACCTTATGGTCTTAGTCTTATGTTATTTGTTGATTGAATCCGCTGTCTCCTGGGGATTAGACACCAAGGCTACAGCCATGATTTTCGCATGGTGTCTATGGATAAAGCCATTATTCTTAGCATCTCTCACTCGGTCCTGGTAAGCTTTAGTTTAGGGTCAAAGCAGAATAATCATAAGAGAAGAGATATATATAAATGGATTCAGGGAAACCCTTTATCCAGTTCAGAAGAAAAATTTGGGGGCCGGGCATGTTGAATATTACCCTACACCCACTGAGATGGTAAATAATCCACGAAGAGCAGAGACTCCGAGCTCCATCTGAGATATACAAGGCTACACAGCGAGAAACGCGGAACAAAGATTCTCACAGATTAACTTATAATATGACTCACTTGGCAAAGATGCGAAACGCGGTCATTCGGAAGCTATTTTCCAGTTCCTATGCCACGAAGAAATGTCTAGTCTGGGTATCAGATTTTATGATATGCAATATACTATCATTCTATCTATACTGTTGTACTGAGCCGTCTGAGCGCGAGACCGTGGAACGAGGTGGGTCTACCGCGTGTAAACTTGGTAAGCTAGATACAACTATACGGGACTGGCTATTTTAGCTTTGAGTGTGAGACCAAGAGTACTAGTTACGTGATTGGAAGTCATTGGAACTTAATATCTGCTAGTATCACTGCGATGAATTGGACGACGGTTGATATAGTTTCGGTTTGAGGGCTAACTGTGAGGAAGTTGGAGTCAGCCATTTGAATCTCAGTTGTGTCTCTAGCATTATGAGCTAATTCATACCGTGCTTTATGGGATATGCCTTAAGATTGTAGTTAATGCTGTAATTCAGCTGTGCGAAGCGTATGCGGGGAATTTACTTGCCGCGGGGCTTTGAGCATAAAGTTTGATGAAAAGGTAAAAGCTGCAAGATGTTCAAGATATTCACTGGAAATATATTGTAACGATCAAAAAATCACAATACAAATACATTTCACTAGAAGCTGTTGAATACCTGCCGAGGTATTATAGGTGCCGCAATTGAGGAGCTGAGCCACCTATGAGTATTACACGATTCCCAGCAGCTGCCAAATGATGATAGTACGGCTCTGAATTGTATGACCCGAAAAGATCTAGAAACCTACCTAGCAGCTCCGTATATTCAGACGTCAGACGCCTACTCAGCCTAGTAAGCATTCCTAGCTGCTAGAGCCAGTGGGCAGGCTTGCCGGCCCCGCATGTGCCACTTTCGTTCGTAGATACGCGAGAAATTGGCTTCCCGTCTTGGCTCACGCTTGCGTTGTTTTGCCGTACATCTCTAGATGATCAGCATCATTGCCGTTTTAGTTATTACAAGCTACTTATTGACTCGAGAAGTCCGTAGCGAGAACTTCTCTAGAACAAGATGTGCGATCAACCCTCCGATATGTCTGTTGTGTCCGAGTCGTCTGATGCGTCTGAGACAAAGAAAAAGGGTAAGCGCGCTCAGCTTACCTCGTACCTGGTGAGTAACCTGAGATTGCTCAGCTCATGAAACGAAATCTCACATAAGTATAGAGCGACGAATGGTCCAAGGGTAAGGTGAAGTCCAAAGAAGGTATATTGAAAGGATGGGAGATGAGCAAGGAAAGAGGCAAGGTGGAGTGGGTTAAGGGGGTGACCGCACTGCAGCACTCCCTCGGCCTAGGCGCCGTCCCGAACGTGATACCTCCTGGAGAGGCTCGCATGGATGGAGACCTTCGTTTGGTCGAAATTGGATGGCATCCTGTAGCTGGTATGGGTGGCAAGTGGCTAGCTGAACAGTCGGGTCTCGGGGATATTATCACCAAAAACATCGGCACCTATCCTGATCCGACACAGCACTGGGCTGTCTTGGTTGGGGACTTCGTCCATCAGCTGTGGATGGACGAGGATCTCAATATTATTTACAACAACGAGAAGCTTGAACGGGAAGCGTGGCGTACTTTTGAAGTTGGACAGACGAGGTTTACAGATGAGGCGTTGAGGCAGGCAGGTGGGTCTCCACTTCTAAGAATGCTCAACAAAGGCTTCTATTGCTAACGAAAGCTTAGCTGTTATGACCATCTATAAGATGAGGCAAGAACGAGCGGCATACAATTTAATTAGCAACAATTGCCAGAACTTTGCTGTCCGTCTGCTCGATGCCATCCAAATCGGAGCCCACCATCAATTCGCGACAAGTTTTGCAGTTTATCAAGCAGCCACAGGCGATGGAACGATCAAAGATCTCTTCGTTGATGCGCATCCAGAAGAACAAAAGATAGATCCAGCCGAGGGAGGAATACAGCGGACTGACACAGTGCAGAACGCCCAGCACGTCATGGACGAGAATACCACCAAATTGGATAATCACAGTGTCATACCAGAGAGTACCACCAACCCGGATAATCCCATTGTCGTGAAAGAGGAGACCACCAAAGCGGATAAGAAAAGGTCGTGGTTTGGTCTGGGAAAATAGATTTCCAGGTCCTTAAACGTGATTTTTGAAGGCGTTAATGCAATAAATACCATGCTTGTTCCTGGTTTCAGCAACTTTGGACTTTCTGTGTTGTTGTATCTCGGACAGTCCCATGACACCGGTGAGTGATGTTACTCGGCTATTGGTATCCCAGATCTGGATCCGACTGGAAGCCATCATCCACTTGGAGAAAAGCATTGGCTCTGCGCAAAGCAAGTAGGTGGTTGGTGTCAAATTGTTCCTCAGCCCTAGATTCCCACTCAAAGCCCAAGCGAAAGACATTACAGTGCGGAGGTGCAATTGAGACTAGTGTAGGTGTATTTAGTTTGAGTGAGAGCTTCTTCTTTAACAATCAACCTTTGCTCCTCCAATTATCTATTATGGATATGATTATTTTGTCATAAGACCACAAGGCACACACACATACTACACCAAGTAAGCCATGCATGCTGCTTTTGTTCGCTTAACATTTGACTTGGTGAAATCGTGCGAAAGAAGAAGTAAGAGATAATTACCTAGGTATAGCACTTTTATAATAACGAAACAACCTCTTAAAAATGATTCGAAAAAAGGCTTCTTACCAAGCTAGCATAAACTCAATTATCGAATACTCTATCAGATTGCATAGCGCATTGGGTAGTAGTCTTAAAGAGGAAGATGGATATTAGAGGGAGTTAACCTTGCTTAAAATTATCGGGATAAAGTGGCATGTCCGAGCTCTTTATGCCTGATGCAGGGCTGACTTTGTGTGAATGTGGGCCTTGTGGCCTCATGACGAAATAATCGTATCCTCTGTTATATGGTATACTAAGCGCGGACACCTTTAATTGTCGCGAACACTTTACTGTTATCCACTTTAGATTGGACGAGAAAGTAGCCGTCAAAGCTTATTATAGTTAGTTTCAGGGGTATCGTAACGCCTCGCGCTCTCTACGACAACAATAACATCTTCCATCACTGGATCCTTTTCAATATATTTTCTCTCGTTGGCAAGCATCTATTGTTGGTCCCTTACTCACTCACCAAGTGTTTGCATCGTTGGAGTGTAGGAGAAGAGAGCAAATAAACGTCTTACACGCCTGGCTATTGGGTCCATCACGAATTATCGAGCCCGCTTATTTGTTGATGCCACTGCACGTGGCTGAAGCACAGCACAGAGGGTGCTGCTGAATCTGCGCTCGTAGTATGGCCAAATCTGATCCCTCGCGGGCAGGACGAGTCAAAGCTTTCAAGCCTAAAGTAATTACTGGCTGTAAAACTTGCAAGTAATTTCCCTCTTCCACAAACTATACACATAAAGCTAACTGTTCCAGAGCACGACGAATAAAGTGCGACGAGGCTAAGCCGGTCTGTAAGAAATGTTCGTCAGCAGGCCGGAGATGTGATGGATACTTTTATTCAGGCGTCCCTGCAGCAAGCTTTCCTTGGCAGAGCCAGCATCTGATCTCTGACAAGCAAGTAATGGCCAATGCATCCCCATCTATACAAACATTTCCATGTTTCACTCTTCTCAAATCAAAGCTGGAGCAACGCAGCTTCAGCTTCTTCTATCAGAATACTGTTCCGCAACTTTCGAGTATCGTTGGATCTCCATCATGGAAACAGCTAAATCGTCTGCTGCTCCAAGCAGCTCATCATGAACCTGCTGTCAGACATGCAGCTGTTGCATTGGGAGCCTTACACGAGAATTTTGAGACTCGACCCTAACTCCTGCCCGATTCGATGAGCAAGAGTCTGGTTTCTGAGTTTGCTATACAGCAATATGTAAAAGCATTGGGATACTTGACGAACCCTGCTACAGATCGAAATAAGTTATCTACTGATGTCGCCCTGATAATATGCATACTATTCGTGTGCTTTGAGGTTCGCCAGATTGCCTAGACACTTTCTACAGAAGCTGATGAAACTAGAACCTGCGAGGAGAATATTCC